CTGGCACCTTTGCAGCCACCTCCAGATTTAGTGTTTTGCCACTGAAGCCAGTCCAAAAAACCTATACAAGGTGACTGCAATCTAAGTGCAAACTATGTGACTTGTGGGCTCCACAGAGAATAAACGTTTTTGCGTTATGGAGTCTTGGAAGGAAAAGAAAGGGAAAAAGGAACACAAAATTTACTTAAAGCAATAATGGCTGAAACTTCCCAAATGTGGAGAGAGAGATGGCTGTCCAGGTACAGAAAACTCAAAGATCCCCAAAAGAGATTCAACCTGAAGAGATCTTCACCAAGACATATTATTATCAAACTATTAAAAAATCAAGACAAACTGCCTGGCCGGTGTGGTTTAATGGAATGAGCATCATCCCCTGGACTGAGAGGTCCTGGTTTGATTCCCAGGCAGGGTACATGCCCGGGTTATGAGCTTGATCCCCAGGAAGGCAGCCAATCAATGTTTCTCTCTCACTCAGATGCTTCTATCTCTCTCTCTTCCTGAAAAATCAACAAAAACATATATATTTAAATCAAAGATAAATGGAGAATTTTATAAGCAGAAGGAGAAAAATATTATCACATACAAGGGAATCTTGATAAGGCTGCAAGAAGATTTCTCAGGAACCTTACAGGCCTGAAGAGATAGTAATACATATAATCAAAGTGTTCAAAATAAAAAAAAACTGTCAACCAATAAGTCTTTACCCAGGTAACTTATCATTCAGTAATAAAGGTGGCATATGGACTTTCAAGACAGACAAAATCCAACAATATTTATAAAAATAGACCTGCACTATAGGAAATATTAAAGAGGATTCTGTAAGCTGAAAAACAGGACACTAATTAGTAACATGAAACATATAAGAGTACAAAATTCACTGGTCAAGTGAATATATAGTCAAATTCAAAATCTCTATTAGAGCTGCATAATTAGATTATTTATGTCAAGGAACTAGAACAAGAACAAATAAATCCCCAAATTAGTAGAAGAAAGAAAAAAATACATTTCAGAACAGAAATAAATGCAAGGAGACTAAATAGATAATAGAAAAAGTAATGAAATGAAAACCTGTTCTTTTAAAAAAATGTAACAAGCCCTGGCCAGTTTTGCTCAGCAGTTAGAGCATCAGCTCACTGGCCAAAGAGTAGCAGGTTCAATTCTGCTCAAGGACACGTACCGCAGTTGGCGTTCAGTCCCTGGCCCTGGCAGGGGTTGGATGGAAGACAAACAATGAATGTGTGTCTCTTGCATCAATGTTTCTCTCTCTCTCTCTCTCTCCTCCTTCCTCCCTCCCTTCCTCCCACTCTGTTTGAAAATAAGTGCAAAAATATCCTCAGGTGAGGATTAAAAAAAATAAAATAAAAACAACAACAACAACAACAATAATAATAATAATAATAATAAAAGGAATAAAGAAACCTTTAGCTAGATTTACCCGGGAAAAAAAGACTCCCAGCCCTGGCTGGTGTGAATCAGTGGTTAGAACATCAGTCCTCACACCGAAGGGATGCAGGTTTAATCCCCTGTCAAGGGCACATACCTGGGTTGCATGTTCCACCCCTAACCCTGTTCAGGGTTCTGCAGGAGGCAATCAATTGATGTGCCTCTCTCTCTCCTTCCCTTCCACTGTATGTAAAATATCAATAGAAACATATCCTTGGTTGAAATTAACAGAAAAAACAAACAAACAAAATGTGACTATGTAAAGCCTGAAAATTATTTAACAAATATCTGAAAACCAAGGGTAAGTTATACATTTATGACTCCTTTTAAAAGAAATTTCTATTCCAAATCAAATACTACCTAAAATTCTATTACCATAGCTATTCTTACCATTTATTTTGTAATAAAAAGTTTACATGCTCTAATGGAAACATGGCCCTTTAATGAAAATAATAGAAAGCATATTTTGACAAACGAATAATAATTCAAATATTTATTCTACTAGAAACCTTTATACTCACTTAGGACAGGGAAACATTAAGCTAATATTATTTTTTCACTGTAATGATGAAAAAGCTTTTAATGTGACACAAAGTATTTTGATAGTTAATTGGGAAATTTGAATAATTTAAGTACACATTTACAAATTATTTTTTTAAATTTGAAAATAAAGTAATTCTCAGGCATATAAATCTAAGTACCTTTTCCCAGTATGAACAGATTTAAAATGGCAATCTGTCCACAATGGAAGTATTTTAAATGTTCCTATGTCACTTACTGAATTAATGCATGAAATCGCTCAAAGCCAAGCTCTTCGGCAGCCAAGGCAGCTGTACATGAAAGACACTTTTCAGCACCACACAGGGCAAATAAATGACACCAGATACACACAGCAGGTGGTAAACACTTTCAAGCAATAAAAAACTTTCCTCTTTCCTTCTCCCTTAAAATCCTGTTTATTTTCAACTTTACTATACTATAAACTTATATTTTAACATCTAGTTACCCCAATTATAACTAAGTGGACCTAATACTGAGAGTATAGAAGGGTGATTAAATAATAAACACTTCTTTTCAGTTCACTCATGCCGGGATAGTTTATAAAATATGAGAAATGATTGGCAATCATAGTACTTCACACATTATTATAGTATGTCCTGCACTTTTAAATAATCTTTCAATCCATATGTCCAGGTAAAATCATTATACTTAACCTTCCTCTGTGTAATATAAAAATCTTTAGATTTACTGCTTAATTATTAGACAAATATGAATACAAAGGCAGAGACTCTGAAACCACATGGATTCAACAACAGCTTTGTTTCCTCATTAATTCATAGAACTGTTGAGAAGTTTTCAGTAACTTATTTAGTTTATGATTATTAATCCATACAAGTATAACGTTTAAAAAATTAAAGTAAATCAAAGAAAGCATTTAAATCAAGGGCAATGTTTGTTTAGCACTTTTCTAAGTGCCAGGCCCCTTTCCAGATGCTCCACAGGTTCGACCTCACTTAGTCCTCATAACAACCCTGTTAGTGCTCCTTTCACAGGAGAGGAAACTGAGGCACAGAGAAGAATCCTCTCAAGTGCACACAGCAGTAAACAGCAGAGTGCCTGGCCAGTGTGGCTCAGTGGTTAAGCACTGACCCATGCACCAAGAAGTCGCCAGTTCAATTGCTGGTCAGGGCACCTGCACAGGTTGTGGGCCAAATCCCCAGTGGGGGGCATACAGGAGGCAGCCAATTGATGTCTCTCTTGATGATTCTGTCTGTCTCTGATTCTCCCTTTCTCTCTCTCTAAAATCAATAAAGAAAAAAAATATTTTAAACAAAAACCAAAAAAACATAAGAACAAAAACAAATTTTAGTTAGTTCAACTATCCCAGCCTAAATTTTGGTAACCTTAATGAAACTATTAAACATGCTTACATCTAATTCAGTGAAACCTGGAAAATATTTCAAACCAATCTTAATGATATTTTTGACTATCATCCTTGTGAATATTTTCTACGCATTTCCTTCAACTGTATTATCAACTCTAAAAATGTAATTTATTTGAAAGGTTATGCTTTAAAAACCTGAAAAATAAACACCATTGAACTGTTTAAATTTTAAAATGCTTCCTTGGGAAAGTGCTATCAGGATGTGCCACTGTAACTGCAGAGGTAACAGAGAAAACACTGACATCGCAGACACGTTTTAGTTCAAGGAGGCAACAATGCGTCATAAACGGTCCTATAGGGAAAGTAAGGTGTATATCACAGTCAATCCAAATTTACTTTCTAGAATTCAGTTGTCTTATTTCTTTAAAAACAATTTCTAGACATGAGAGTTAATGGAATGCATTATAGGTAGAATAAGTCACTTATTCTATATAAGAACTCGGACCTACCAACTACCAAAGGCCACCTGCTAGCAAGATAGTTCCTGAAAAGAAAAACAGAACAGCAAGTCTTTTTATGTAGCTTCTGCACCACCAGAAATCTCCATTTTACCAGGTCATTCTGGAAGTTCTTAGGCCAACTACATAAGAATTTTCAAAGACTTTTCAGAGAATATAAGATTTTTATAATGAGAATAGTCATTATTTAATTTTTTAAAATAGAAATCTTCTCCCTGGCTGGGTGGCTCAGTTGCTTGGAGCATCTCCCAATACACACAAGGGTCATGGGTTCTGTTCCCAGTCAAGGCACATACCCAGGTTTTAGGTTTGATACAGGGTCTCAGGGCCCCTATGGGAGATGAAAGGTAACCAATAGATGTTTCCCTCTTTCTCTCTCTTTCTCTTTCTAACATCAATTTAAAAAAAGAAATCTTCAATGTCTGAAAAACTGAAATTAAAATGCATAATTAAAATTATTTTATTTATTATTATTATTTTTAATACTCACTCTAGGATATTTTTCCATTTTTAGATAGAGTGGGAGGAAGGAAAAGAGAGAGAGAGAAATGTTGATGTGAGAGAGACACATCTATTGCTTGCCTCTTGCATGACCCCAACCAGGGCTGGGGATTGATCTGAAACAAAGGTAGGTGACCTTGACAGAAATTGAACCTGGGGCCCTTTGTTCCATGGACTGATGCAGTAATGCTGAGCCAAACCGGCCAGGGTTAAAATTACTTTAAATAATTCATATACAGTAACACTGTCCAAAAAGTCCAGGAGAAAAGAAAACAATGCATAATAAAAAAAAAAGTACCGCTTTTGCTCTAGGAAGCAATGAAAGGTATTTAAAAATTTTTCTAACATCAAAAAAAAAAATCTCATTTTTTCTCCAGCATTGAGGTAAACATTAAAGCATTTGAAACTACAGTATATAGGAATAGGTAACTTAAACTTTCTACATGAGAGTACCAAAGCTCAAAACAGAATGTCAGGTAGGAAGTTAACTAGAACTTTTTTAAAAGTTTAAGAAATACCTTTTATTTTTTATCCAAAAATAAAAGCAAAAATAAACACATGTAATTCCCTCTAGTAATTAAAATAATCAATCGAGAAATAAAAAATACTAAGGCTTATAAATTAAGCTTAGGCTAGAAAAGTTTCTTGTGATGTTTAACAACTTTCATTTCTTTTTTAAGAGGAACTATTAAACTTGCTGGAATAGATAAAATTATATTTCAACAGTCCTTGCTTTTGTTGACAAGAAGCTAATCATGCTAATACCCCTGATTTCTCCCTTAAAAGGAAATAACTTAGCTGAGTTTTGAGCAGGAGCGGTGATATTTCTCCAGTCGTAGATGAGTCTCATTGTGGCACATTTCTCCTTTAAGATAAGATGGCATTGGCATGCTGCATATCAGTAAAATTATCACAGCTGCTAAATTTTTTTATGGCCACCCTGCACAGGTTTGGGTTTTCACAATATCTGGAAATAGCCTAGGAGAAGAAATCAAATAGAGCATGTGTATGTTAGAAATGAGAGACTTCCAGCCTTAACACAGACAGCATCACTGAGAAGCCCTGGCCCCACCTCTGGATATACATTATAGGTACTGCCCCTTGGGAGAGCTGTGGGCTACACTGCTAGGGCCTTGGGATTCTACTTTATGCTGAATGACTAAGGTAACTCTTTCAGGGACTATGATCAGATTGCCAGAGCAAAGGGGAACTCAGAATTTTTTGAAGTTTGGGTTTTCTCAACGGTGTCAAAGGCATGACAGGCCCCTAACAACAATATCCTCTGTTGCCTGTACACTTGGTTCCTTAAATATAATAAACATGCACTTGGGCAGAATCAGTGTTTACTCAGCTATTGAAATTCCATCCAATGTTTATTAGTTATTACATACACTACACACATTTTAAGGAGGCAGGCATGTGTTAGACTTTATTGAATGGTAGGAAAGGTCTAATGATGGAAGCACCCACCATGAGGTACTATTATACTTGCATGTTAATTAAGGTACAAACACATCTTATTCTAAAGTACCATCAAAGTACCACAGAAGCTGTCCATTTTAAAAATGTCCATTTCAGTTGTGAATAATTTTGTTGTACACTCACCAAAAGTCAGAAGCCATAAATATTACTTTGTTCCATGACAATTTTCATTAAAAAACATGTACTTTCTACACCAAGTATTTGGAACACGTATCACACAATCTAAGTATAGGTCTCTCAGGTGAGCTTTGTCAAATAAACTTGGGGGACTGAACTGTGATATATACAGAAAAGACATGAATTTATAAACTGGGTTAAGAAAAGTAAGTAGATTATGTTTGTAGATATGATTAGTGATACATTTGTAAGAAATCATTCATGTATGGTTAGAAAAACAGAGTTAAAAAATCCATCAAAGATTAAATTTTAATTAAAATATTCTGAATCATGGTCACAACATGTGGGGTTCTTATATAAACCATAAAAGATACCAGAAATACAATGGAGAGAGTTAATAAGCTTTCTTCAATGTGTTAAAGAGCTTTGCATTTCCCTAATCACTACATAATATGACTGAGCCACGAATGTGGTTTCGGTGTCTGGCAGAAAAGCCCACTTTGTGATCCCACAGCCTCACCTCCAGCTTCTGTGCTCTTTCTTTTCGAAGAGGAGCAAATACAATAGGCAGTCCGTGGTCACCTGCTAAGGTCTGAAGGTCAAAATAGTATTTGGCATAGACACTGGCAGAGACATAAAGATTAAACTGGAGTAGATATATATATTGCCTTTCCAACTCATTCCTGGGGAAGATGAAAAAGAGAAAACCAGCACAGGACAATTTTAGTTGACTTGGCAATCTTCATATTATCATTCTATGCTACTAGGAAGGCTCTAAGATTTGTTTTGAAACAAATAAAAGCTACCCAGCTGTACTAATACCCTAACCTTTAAACAGGCAAACAGGGACAGCTGATGTGGTCCTTTCTGCATCCCAGCCCTTTGCTTTGGGGACCACAAGGAGGGGGGAGGGGGGATCACATATCCTGTGCAGTGGTGCTGCTGACTGGGGCTCATTCTTCAGCTAAAGATCATGCTCCCCACTCACTCACAAGACCCCAAGTCAAGGCTCAGATGAAAGGAATGATGTGCTGCTTCTTAGCTCTGAAGAACTCGCAGACATTTTCACCATAACAGAAAGGGGCTTATAGAAGTAGATATGTGCCAACAAAAGGAGTGGGCACATCACCACGGCAACAAGTGGATCCACTGAGAGCCACTACTGTTATCTCTGAGGGAAAACTCCTGAGGTAACAAGGATTCATCTCTAATAAATAAATAAGTGTGCCAGGTTTGATAAGGGAACCCCCCCTCGTCCCGCAGTGCAGGAGACTAATGTCAAACAGCACAGTGCACGATTCTGTTCACCTTAATCTCTGGTCTGCAGGCCAACGCTCTAACCACTGAGCAAAACCAGCCAGGGCTCTGTTCACCTTAATCTTACTGGGGTGAGAAGCTGTCATCATGACAGAGCTGGATGCATGTTCAAACCGTGGAAGGCAGAAAGACTACAGATCACTGTCTCGGTGGACTAAACCACTTTACCGTATGACCTCTGACTGAGCACTGGACATCCTCAGACAGTGCTCTCCCCGCTGGGACTGCAGCCCTGCGATGCTCTGCACCCCTGACCTTGGCAGAACAGAAGGGAACATTTCACATTGGGTGAGTTCAATAAAGTGGGAAAGGAAATTGGGGAGCAGTCCTTTGCTATGTGACCATACTCTTGTCACTTGCCAAGTTCTTAAAGAAATATAAAATTGGAGTAAATTGCACTACTTCCAGTCATCCCTTGATAGAGGTAATTAATAAAATATGAAATGCCTGAACATACATGAGAGAGGCTTATTTTCTAATGTATTTGTTTTCTCAGTATTAAAGCTTGAATGTTTTATCCATTGGACGGGTCGACAAAAGCTTGCTGTTCTCCTCTATGGAGAGCAGTCAGAATATGAGCAGAGATGAGGTTTTCTCACTTGTTACACTTCAAACCTAACTGAACCGACATCCAAAATGAATGTCCTGTTCCTATGGCTGTAAGTCTATAAAAATATAAATCAGACAATGATTTTTATTTTTTTTATTCTCACCCAAAGAAATTTTTCATTTATCTTCAGATAGAGCAGGAGGGAGTGAAGGAAGAAGTGAGCGAGAAAAACATTGATGTCAGAGAGACACATCAAGTGGCTGCCACCCACATGACTCCAACTTATCTTAAAGAAATGAGAAAAAGGCCCTGGCCAGTTTGGCTCAGTGGTTGGAGCATTGGCCCGCAGACTGGAGAGTCCCAGGTTCGGTTCCTGCTAGGGGTGCATACCTCAGTTGCAGTTTGTCCTCGGCCCCAGTTGGGTCGTGTGGGTGGCAAACAGTCAGTGTGTCTCTCTCGCTTTGATGTTTCAATCTCTTTCTTCTCCCCTCTCTCCCTCCCACTCTATCTGAAGATAAATGCAGAAATGTCCTCAGGTGAGGATAAAATTAATTAAAATAAAATAAATAAATAAAAAAAATAAAGGAATGAGAAAAAGAACAATGAACAATGCCCAAAGCGAATAGAAAAAATGAAATAATAAAGACCAGAGCAGAAACAAAGAAAATAAAATAATACAAAAGATCAATGAACTAAGATCTGATTCTTTGGAAAAATAAACACAATGGATAAACCTTAAACCAGACTCATCAAGAAAGAGAGGTCACAAATATATTAAAAGCAGAAATGAAAGAGCAGTAGGAACAATTCACACCACAGAAATAGAAAGAATATAAGAAAATATATGAATAATATTCCAACAAATTAGACAGTCTGGAAGAAACAGACAAATTCATAGAAACATACAATCTTACTAAACTGGATTAAAAAACCAGAGCCCTGGTGGTTTGGCTCAGCAGTTAGAGCATTGGCCTGCAGACCAGAGAGTTTCGGGTTCAGTTCCTGAGAAGGGCATGTACCTCGGTTGCAGTTTGTCCCTGGCCCCGGGTAGCGTCATGTGGGTGGAAACCAATCAATGTGTCTCTCTCACATCAGTGTTTCTCTCTCTCCCTTCCCCACTCTCCTCCCACTCTATCTGAAGAAATGCAAAAAATATGTCCTCAGGTGAGGATTTAAAAAAAATAAAAAGTAACAAAATCTGAAGAGACTGATTACAACCAACAAAATCAAAGTTATAATAAAAACATTTTTAAACAAAAGTCCTGAAAATGATGTCACAAGTAAATTTGACCAAACATCCCAAGAAGTACTGACACCAGTCTGCCTCAATCTACTGCAAAATATTCGAGAGGATGGAAGACTCCCAAGCTTATTTTAAGAGGCCAGGAATATCCTAATTCCAAAACTAGTTAAGACACTACAAAGATAGAAAATTATACTACAGCTCTGGCCAGTTTGGCTCAGCGGTAGACTGTGGGCCCATGAACCAATGAGTCACGGGTTCAATTCTGGTCAAAGGCATGCATGTACCTGGGTTGCAGTTCACCCCCAACCCTGGTTGGGGTTGTGCAAGAGGCAAGCAGTCAATGTGTCCCTCTCACATCCATGTTTCTCTCTCTCTCTTCCTCCCTCTCACTCTATCTGAAGATAAATGGAAAAATATCCTCGGGTGAGGATTAAAATAAATGAATAAATAAAATAAATAAAAATAGCCCTGGCTGGTTTGGCTCAGCGGTTAGAGCGTCGGCCCACAGACTGAAGAGTCATGGGTTTGATTCCGGTCAAGGGCACATACCTTGGTCACAGTTCAGTCCCCAGCCCAGTTGAGATCATGCGGGGGAGGCAACCAGTCGATGTGTCTCCCTCACATTGTTGTTTCTTTCTCTCTCTCCCCTCCCACTCTGTCTAAAAATAGATGGAAAATTTCTCAGATGAGGATAAAAATAAATAAATAAATAATAAAAATAAAAATACATAAATAAATAAATAATGAAAAAGAGGAATAAAAAAGGACTGGAACTGGTAGATGGCTTTAAGAAAGCCATGAAGATATTTGCAGTACTATGATTCTCGGGTCTAAGCTTGTACAACTTCTGCCAATAACTACCAGAGAAATACATTTAAAATGATCACACTGGTTATTACAACAACACATGAAGATGTACTAATTAATGAGAAGGAATATTAATTGTTATAACAAATGTGGACCGAAAAATGTATGTAATTTTATGCCTAGTTCAGTTCTCCACACGATGTACCCTTTAAAAATATTTCTTAATATGTAATCTTTATGGGAGCAAATCAGCTATTGGAAAATGTTAGCAAGTTCACCAAAACCTTCCAAACTCACAGGTCCTTAAGTGTAATGTTCTTCATGACTCTGCAGAAGAACACATTTTGTACAATCAGATCATGCAAATACTTGGAGGCAAGAAGAATGGCCCCCAAGACAACTCGTTTCCAGTTCGTGGGGCCAATATCTATTCTGGCATAAATCACAAGTCTTTCTAAGTAAACCTGCAAAAGTAAAACACGGGTCTTTGATTTTAGTTCAGTTTAAGTGCTGTGATAATAATGGTTAGGAAGGACAGATTTCACCTATTTGTGACTTGACTCCTATTCTTAGGTTCTACAGAGACTGCTTGGCCAGCCAAAGCCAGAGGCAAAGTCACTGTTGCAAATCAGATACTTTGTTGCCTATGTTGCTCATGTGACTTTCCAGCCCAATTTTTGGTCACAGGAATGAATGGACATCTTAACAAAGGACCCTCTGAAGAAATGTCATTACCTTTCCACTTGCAAAGGGCAGGATACCTGAGTTCCTACCACGTGCACTATTTCATACCTGGCAAGTAGTTATACAGTGATTTTACATAATTCCTGAATATGTAAATCCCTGATAATACTGAACACACAAATACCTTCTTTACACAGTAACTAGTCCTATGCAGCACAAGCAGTAGATAAAACAGGTTGTCAAGAGGGCCCCCCAGTGGCTGCTGTGCGGTGCAGCAGGACAGGCAGTACAAAGGGCTGTGCTTGATGCAGGTCTTGACTGTCAAGTATTCCTGGATTTAGTGCCTTTGTAAGAGACACACATGCACACAAAGGAGAGTCCTTTTTATATCCCTCGTCTTCACACCCCCAGGATCACTTTATGAAATTCATCTCTGTCTTACACAGTCTGAAGCTTAGTCAGTGCTGGTGGTTTCAGATGGTAACAGAGCTGCCATCTCTGCATCCCTGGTCCTCTACACCTGCCAGGAGCTTGTGAGGGTTCATGATTTCTTTACCTTGTATCACATGTCTATTCTACAAAGAACTGGGTGAACTTAACAGCTAAGTAAAGGTTACAAAGGCAAGTGGTGATTTGTTGTTACCTTGAAGGGTGCTTTGCAGAAGAGTATGTATGCCATTTGCCAACAAAGTCCCATTTTAAAGAGTATGTTAATTGTCTGAGGTTATCAGATTAACAGCTCAGATTTGCCAATGTTCTTCAAACCCAACTGTATTTTTAAAACCAAATGGTTATTGAACATTATATGATCTTAGTGAAAGTTTACACAAATCCCCAAAACCCAGCACTTGCAGATATCCTAATAATAAACCTGCTTAAAAGGTCCAACTTTGTACTTTATGGGACTAGCTAGAGGCACTTATACAACACTGGCAATCTCTCACCTTCCTGACACCTTTACTGGCAGACTTGGTATGTGCCATCCTCACTCATTCATGCACTTGCCCTCCTGTGTCAGTGGACCTGAGATTTCCCTTCTCACTGAAGCTGACTCCTCTCTCAGTGATGTCGATCCCATCCCACTTCTGAAGAACACCTCCCACAGTTCCCCCTTTTTGAAGAATCCTCCCTGTCTACCAGAGATGTTTCCCTATGTGTTGACACTGTTCCCTGCCACCCCCCGACCCCTAGAATGCTTCCCCTCATTTTGCTCACAGTAAATGCCCTGATGCTGCTTCTCATCTCCCACTGTCTCCTTAACCCACTCTGTCTGCCCCCTGCCGCTATCACTCTATTAAACTATTGCTGAGACCATCTGTGCCTTCACATATACACACCAGAGCTCTTCATCCCAACTCCCCCTCCTCAAGCACTCCCTAATGTCATAAATGGTACTGCCATTTGCCTAGTTGTGCTGAGTTTTGGGGATTGGTGTAAACTTTCACTAATTCTAATTCAGTAAGCCTGCTCAATCTGTTAGTGATTCTTGTTATCTTCACCTATCACTGGTCATCAGGCTGCTTTCTATTTTATTTGTCACTTCTCACCTGGATCACTGCTATTGCCTCCTGACTTCTCGGCCTCCACTTGAACTCCCAGCTACAGTCTATTCTCCCCAAACAGCCAGGACAGCCTCCATAATCAAGAGCACTTCACAACCCTGCTCAATATCCGCCAAAGGTTTCCCATCAAACAAAGAAAAATGTAATGTCTTCCCATGGCCTGCCAGCTGCAGGGCCCTATAAGATAGGACGCTGCCCTTCTATGTCCTCATGTCCTACATTCTTTCCCTCATTCCACACTCTGACCACACTGGCCACACCTCATTGTTGCTTGGACACACAAAACATGGTCCCCTCTGCTTACGACAATGCCAGAGCTCCTCACCCTCCTCAATTCAGTCAGGTCATGATTCAATTGTTTCCTCTTTAAAAAGGCTCTTCTGAATTGGACCCTCTAATATAGCAAGCTGCTGTAATCTCTTTATCTCTTTCCCTGCTTCATCTTGGTATTTACTACTACCTGAAATATTCATCTTTTAAAAAACACTCATTTAAAAAATATTTATGTCTTCCTCGGTATAATACATGCTCAATAAAAGCAAAAACTTGAATCAACCATGTCTCTCCTCCATCCTCAGCACTGAGCTCTGTAAGGACCATGAGCACGAAAGGGGGAGTCCCCAGGAGTGGGTGACAGTGGTGGGGAAACCAGGAGAAAATAATAAAAAGTCAAGATATGTGAGGTTCAAGAAAGAGAGTGAGGTCAAAATGCTAAATGTGGATCATAATTCCCTACCTGCAGCTCAAATTCAGGCTGTTTCACACATTCAGATGATTCCTAGAGATCGCACTCTGCTGTCTCCCAGGTGCATCAAGCTTGATTTGTCTACAGAGGACTCCCCCTCTCTCAGCCCAGACACCCTCCTTCCTTACTACTGAGTTCTCCACATGGAATCACCCTCCTGCCTTCACCACCACCTGCTAAGTCCTCCTGGTGGCTGGCAGCTCCATGAAAAGGCCTGTGTCTGATCCAGTGTCCACGAGGGGTCTCTAGTCAGAAGCACAGTGGCCTCTCCAAAATTTTACCTGAATACTGAAGGAGGAGGCACTGACCTAAGGATTTGTTCCCTCCCGACCATGCAGTACACTTTCCCCTTTAGGACTGCTGGGGGCAGGGCCACTTCTCACTAGAATAGAACTACTTATTCCAAAGGAAAAACTCTTCCCATAGGAATTCTGTATGAATGACACAAAGGTCCTCGCATAGCCTGTTCAGGAACTACTGGCACTATAATCCTGGGCAACGTCACAGGCAGGCACAGGAAGACAGCAGGGATGGATTTACACCCATCATCCAGGGAACAGAGAATTCAGGGCTCCGGTTCTCAATCAGGACACAGTCAGAACTGCCTGGGGATACAGCCTGGGACGCAGCTCAGACCTACACTGAATCAGTCACTGCCCAGGAACCAGATGGTTTTGTTATTGCCCTTTATGCCTGTCAGCACACCTTGTACGTGTGCATGTGTGTGCACTGCATGTGCACGTGTCTCCTGAGGGGTGGAGGCAGAAACCAGAACTTTCTCCTGCTGCCTTGAATAGCAGGTGTTTTGTGATGAGAAAAGCAAGGACATTGGAAATCATAATGATTATTAACCTCAAATGTGTGTATTTCACAACTATTCTTGGATGGGTGTCTCTAAAAAGGTTTGGATGATTTTTTCAGGAACCTACTTTTATTTGATCACACCCCAAGGACAAGGCAGGAAAGATACTTCCTGAAAAAAGAACTATCTTACCAAAGTTGTTATTGCAAATTGACCCGTTAGACAAAAGGCATTGAAAAGAGGCCGAATGAAACTGTAAATAGATTCGGGATCAGGATTATGATAATATTCCTCTGGATCCATTTCTTCCTGAAAGGAGAAAATGCAATGTAAGAATCCAGTGAACAAAAACACTTAAGTACTTCTATGGTGGCAATTTTCTAATTGTGCCCACATGTCCCTGAAAATAATTTTCAATGGGTGACCTGTGTTTTTTTCTTATAGGAATAAACAATGGGACTTGAAAAAGCAATAGTGATGCAAAACCACCACTCATTAAAGATAAATACAGGCACAACCTCAGAAAACTTATGTGTTCCTTTCCACCTTCCCTACAGAATTCTATCTAAATATAAACTAGCTTTAGGCTCAAAAGTCTTGTTGATTGCCCTGGTCTACTGCTCTGGGGTCAGCTCTGAATATATACTCTCAGTAACCGGCAGGCGCTGAGGCTGGGCCCTGCTGCACAGCGTCACAGCCACACATCGCTGCAGAGCCTCTGGAGCGGGGAGCGGAACAGTCTGGTCATTCCAGTTTGTTCAGAATTTAAAGAGTTAAGTTTCTTCATAGAGGTCTTAACATATCTTAGGTTTATTTACAAATATTTACTAGTTTGATGCTACTGAAAATTATCTTTTAAAAAGTTGCAATTTTTGTTTTGGGGCATGTTTACTCTCCTTAGCTCACTAATTATACAGAACTGCAACTCAGCTTTACTGACATTTTTCTTACACAACATTCCCTTTGTAAAATAATTAAATATAACATAGGGTGGAAAAAAACAAAAGAAAATAATTTTGACTCCAAGCTAGAGGGAGTAATTCTCTTCCAGTAATTAATTTCAAAGCAAATCAGCATGAAATAAACATGACTGTATGAGAGAAAAATACAACCTCCATACAACTGAAACTTACTGTATATGACGGATACAAGTACTCCTCAATAATATCCTTGGTTTTGTTTGAATCTCTATTAAATAAGAACATGCATTTAAAAAATGAATCCAAAAATTGTTACTGTCTTAGGAGCAGGTCTGCTGGGAGTAGACAGAGGGATGGAGGGAAAAGCTAAACCTCGAACACAGTCCTTCTACACATTCTCAGATTCTGTAAGAATTTTCTGACCTCTTTTTACTCAGCCATGAAATTCTAGAAAATCTTTTCTACACTAACCAGCCAGAGTTCCCTTTATAAGCACTGACCCTCCCTGATAGGCAATGCGGGTCAACCAAATCTATTTCCAGCCCCTGAGCTCACACTGGAATACAGCAGAACATTGATGAGGCAGCAGTGGTGGGCAATCGTGCAGGTGAAAATGAGATTCATGCTTTTTCCCTGTATTGTTTTTTTCTTATTTGTTCATTATATTATATTCTTATCTTGTCTCATTTAAATAGTTTGAGTTAAGCCCTGGCTGGTTTGACTCAGCACTAGAGTGTCGGCTCATGGACCAAAGAGTTCCAGGTTCCATTCTGACCAAGGGCACGTACCTCGGTTGCGGTTCATCCCTGGCCCTGGTCAGGGTCATGTGGGAGGCAACCAATCAATGTGTTCCTCTCACATCAATGTTTCTCTCTCTCTCCCTCTCTTCCTCTCACTCAGTATGGAGATAAATAAAAGAATATCCTCAGGGGAAGATTTAAAAATAAAAATAAATAGTTTGAATTAAAAATGCCTTTTTATTTTAAAAGTGATCAGTCTATTGAAAAATATTTCTTAAATTGATTTTACAGAAGTAAAATGAGAGTGAGAGATAGAGAGAGAAAAAGACAGAAACATTGATTGGCTGCCTCCCACACATGCCCTGACCAGGGTTCAAACCTGCCACCTGGGTGTTTTGCAGGCCTCTGGGGTTACCCTAGACCATTTTCAGGAGACCCGCGATGCCAAAACTGTTTTTATAGAAATAGTAAGGCACTGCCTGCTTTTACACTGACATCTGTATAAAAGCAAAAGTCAGTAAAACGATCTCTGAGCATGACTCAAGTACCACACTGTATGCTCAGCCATTCTATTCTTCACTGACACCTGTTGTTGAAAAATATTCTGTTCTACTTAAGAACATCTTTGATAAAGCAGTAAAAATGAATAATGGTATTATCCTTGATTCTCCTCTTTATATGCTGATCAGTGGAAAGCATGCATCAAGCGCTTCTGCATACTGAAACGTGGCTGTTTTGAGGAAAAGCACTTGTGACTTAGTTGTGAGTTGAATAAGCTACGTTTTTTATAGAATAACATTTCTGTGTGAGAGTACAACTGTCATTCTCTCAAAACTGAAAAGTGAGCCTGTCACTCAAGAAAAATAACTTGTATACTTGTTGTCAATGACATAATTCAAGCTAACATGCTACAAATCAAGATGGAGAAAACGTGTAGCATTTTGTGAGCTTTACAGCTTTTCAATAGTTAAAGGCTTTTCTGGTAAGACTGGTGGTGATACAATACTAACAAAAGTGAGTCTGAACACAGTATAAAGAAATGTAAACCAATACTTTGCAAATGAGCAATGTATAATATTATTTAAAAATTAATTACAAGTAAAGAGATTTACTCAGCATACAAGATATATGAATGGGTAGTAATTTAACACAGACCTTACTACAAGCTCATGTATATGATTTAAAATTCCATTGTAACTAATTTAAGAAACTAGCACTTCTGCCCTTTTGCTACAATATCAAAGAATATTCACAGTTACCTGAAGGCTTTAAAAATACAAACTATTCTAGCCATAAAGGTACATGAGGGTGGGTTTTCTCTATATTGTTTCTTTAAAACAAATTATTCAGATGACTGAAGTAATGACAAATGATTGAAGACAGGGTATACATGAAAACCAGCTATCTTCTACTAAACCAGACACAAAGAGATTTGTAAAATGTAAATAAATGACACAATTTCCACTCAACAGTTTCATTATAAAAAGCAATTCTATCTTTTAAATAAAAATTATGTAAATAAAAAATTATGGTTCCCAATCAGGGGTGATTTTGTCCCCTGGGAATCATTTGGCCAAGGTTGGAGACAGTTTTTGCTGTCACCGTGTGGCATGGGAAGAGGGTACTATTGCATCCAGTGAGTAGAGCCCAGGGAGGCTGCTAAACATCCTATGATGACAAGGTCATCCGCCACAACAAGGAATTATCCAGCTCAAAATTTCATCAGTGCTATAAAAAAACATGTTCCAAGATACAAGGACTTATTTTTCAATTCTCAATTTTCATCTCTAATACAGAAAATATCAATATAATGCACATAAACAAACATCCTAAGGGATCCTCAATAACCTTAGCCATCGATTCACTTCAATAATGTAGTCAAAGCGCTCTATGGCTTACTCCAATAATGTCTGTAGTTATTACCTAACACTATACTTTATATCTTGTAAGTTTATTAGCTAGAATAACAAGATAGGTTTTAAAACTCACCTGTTCTTAATGTGGTAATATATTGCTATAGCCAGGCTGTGGAAGAAAAAAAAAATTGTAACAACTGATTTTATGTGAGGTCTGAAGACATGTCTGAAAAGGGGTTGTGGTGGGGGAAGACCTGCCCAGCTGCCCAGTGGCCATAGAATCCTCATACAGAACAGCACATGGGCACTTTTCACCTTGTTGGAGTTCTTTGCCTTTTAACAAAATTAGAAAAACCAAAATGCTACAGAATGTGCTGTCAAAACACGTTCAAATGATTATTATAATACACGTTATTCCACATCTCCCCTGTCATTTGCCTTCTACCCACAAAACCTTTCATCCTGCACAAGTCACATCTATCTGTACACATGCTTAAATTTAAGTCACACAGTAGCTTTTCCACCTACCCACCCATTTTCCATCTTTTCCCTGAAGGTAAATAAAATGCTCCATACCAAATAAAATCAATTATTTAATAAAATCACTTTTACATAATTATGAGAAAATGTAATGGCAGATATAAGAACACACCACACCAGTAGGTCTAACTCTCCTAAAATAAGCAGTGCTAACAAGGCAGCATAAGAGGACACAGTGTAATATTAATAACATTTCCAAATTAGTTAAAAAAAACTCTTTATTGAGCAGATGTCTGTCCTCAGCTACAGTGTAAGGTACCGTGTTCCTAAGGTATTCACAGACGCTGCGCACTAGGAAACAAAGGGGGGCTGTAGGTCAAGTGATGTGCTTTTCCTCTTTGCTCCCAGTGTCTAAAATGAAGCTCAAAATAAGTGAGAAAAAGCAAATCTGAATTTTATAACAAGGTCTACAGAATATTAGCACTCGTAATAAGACCTATAATATTGTTTGCATCAAAGGTGGGTACTTCTATAGTGCTTCAAACAGTTTCATCTTGTTGATTTAAAAATACAGAATTTGAACCATATAAGTTGAAAAGAATAAATGGATTTGTGATGACACTTAATCCAACAACCCATTTCACAGATGAGGTGACCAGAGCTTAAAACTGACTTGCTCAAGTTCCCCCAGCAGTGAGCAAGTTAAAACTTATTGTGCATCCAAAAATTAGACTAATTTGGAGAAGAAAAGCATAACATGTACTGGTCTGAGAAAGGTCAATCTCTGAAACTACTTTTGAATTATATGCTCTAAAATCACAATCTTTTGAATTCAAAAGAATCTATGGAATGCAGCCAGAGTGGAGTTGTTTTCATCCATAAATTTAATCTCCCAGCTGAATAAAAAACTCCAGTAATTATGCAATGGGTGCCAAGGCTCAGGACTTAGACAAGGACAGGGCTCAATTTTTAGTGAAACAATTTGATCTCAACTACTGTTATAAGTGAGAGAAGTTACATTATTATGATTGTGAACTTGTAATTCAAGTACTTTTAATTAAAGTAGAAGTTACTGATTGTTTAGTTAGCAGAAAAGCTGGTACAATAGAAACAAAATTAAGTTTAGAAACAAATTATGTTTTTAGAACTGAAAAATAAAATTAGGATTGAGAATATTCATATTTTCAGGGAGCATTTCCCAAATTGTGCTCTGGGAAAACAACACTCACATCCCAGGGAGATGCTGACAATGTTCCTTGGACAACCCAGGGAATTCAGGAAGCTCTGCATCCCATTTTGGTTTCATTTCAGTCTTCAAGAAGCTTGAAAGATTCATCATAGGATGTTTGTTTTTAAAGAGTGTCTCCAACTGTGGCCTATGTGGTGCTTGCAGAACTTAAGGAACAGTTTATCTCATCGTAACACTGTTGTGTTGCTTCAGTGTAAATCTACCTGTGGCTGTGTTTCCACAACCTCACCGCTTTCATTTTTTTCTGCTGTGATTTTCTTCTATAAGGATTGATATAGTGTCTTGAAGACTTATTGATATATCTATACATATACATAATAATTAAATTTAATACATCTATAAAATTAAAACCTCAGTTGAACAAATTTTATCCACAAAGAAGTTGGCTTTAAAAGTTATTCCTTAACACTGTTTGATGCGCCTGGCTGGTGTGGCTCAGTGGTTGAGCATTGACCCATGCACCAAGAGGTTGCCAGTTTATTTCCAGTCAGGGCACATGGCCAGGTTGTGGGCCAAATACCCAGTGCGGGGCATGCAGGAGGCAGCCAAATGATGTTTTTTCTTATCGATGTTTCTATTTCTCTCTCTCTCTCTTTCTATAAAATCAATAAAGAAAAAAAATATTTTTTAAAGAAAAGTTTGATGCATTTTTTCTGAAAGGAGAAGTGAATTTTAATATAAACACAGTATAGAAGAGCCCTAGAGAGTTTGGCTCGGCATTTAGAGCGTCCGCCTGCAAACCAGTGGGTCGTGGGTTTAGTTCCTGCTAAAAGCACGTACCTAGATTGCAGTTTGTTCCTGGCCCCGGTTGGGTTAGTGTGGGTGGCAGCTGTTCAATGTGTCTCTCTCACATTGATGTTTCTCTCTCTCTATTCCCTCCTCTTTCCCAACTGCTCTATCTGAAGATAAATGGAAAAATGTCCTCGGGTGAGGATAAAAAAAAATACATTAGAAGAATAAATATGCAATGGGAGAAACCTGACAAGAGCCAATTAAACCTAAAGGCCGATGCACTCTGGTGCCAGCAGGGGACAAGCTGCTCCTTCTTCCAGGGGGAGCTTCCAGAGGAGCACACATAGTTGGAGGCCTAGATCCCATAAAGAAATACTTTTTTCTAGAAACATCCAATAAAAAGCACCTCTTCTTTTACTGTTCAACAATGTCACAACAACAGTAATGCATCAAGTAACTATCAATAAATACATCTGAGGGGATGTTGTATTTGCTAACTGGCATTCCCTTCTTCCATCCACTCTAAGAGTATAATGGAACCTGAAATCACTATATACTTGACACTAGTTTTTTTCTTTTTCTTTTTTAAATCCTTAACTGAGGATAATTTTCCATTTATCTTTAGATAAAGAGAAAGAGACACAGAGAAACATCAATGTGAGAGAGACACACTGACTCCTTGCCTCCCACATGACCCCAACGAGGGCTGGGACAGAACCACAACTGAGTTATGTGCCCTTGACCAGAATCAAACCCTTGACTCTTTGATCTGTGGCCAGAAAATCTAACCACAAAGCCAAATCAGCCAGGATGACGGCAGTTTTTTACCCTGATCACTGAAAAGGACAAACAAATGACTGAAATTACATAGGGAAGGATGCCGGTAGCATAAAGGGTCTGTCAATGAGCCCTGGGCAACCTATTTGTACTCACGATTGCACAGTGATTATAACACTAGGCTCGGACAGTGTGCTCTCATCTAAAAAGATGGTTGAGCATGAGCTGTGCTTTTCACGAAGGAGATCTGGAGACACCTGAAGGGGAAGGGAATAGAATAAAATATCACAAGTAAGTGAAACTTACAAAAGTGTGTTTTTTCTTGGATAAAATGTCAAACAATAAAACATTAAAAATTTTCTTATAATCTGTGAACTGCTGTAGTGTGATATCATGTGCAGCTCTATGTGAAACCCATTAGACAATCCACAGACAAGTTTTGAGGAAGAGGTTATGAAATGCTGTCCTTGATCTAGTACCTATAATCCAACATGGCAAATACCTGTGAGAAATTCTTTTTATAATAATGTAAAACATTTAGCATAAGATTTCAGTGTGTATTTTTTCTTAAGAAATGAAAAGCAGCTGAGATTTCTATTTCTACTATTTATTTTCTACAATAACACATAATTCCTTATATAATATTGGAACAAGAGCATTTTGTTGAAGTAAATAAAACCAACAATAAATATTAGTTCAGGAGACAGTGCGGCAAAACAAAGGTAGTTGAGTCAGAGGTGTGTGTGTGCTTGGCCTGGCCTGTGGCCTGCAAGCGATGAGGTCAGAGGTCTCTCTAGGCCTCAGTCTCCTTATCAAGAGGATAAAAGAGTATTGTTTTAAGATTCTCTCACATATGAAAAAGCAGATGAAACAACTCTGAAAATTTAACTCTCCCTTCATGTTTGACTAAGACTATCACTACACTACTCAAATGGGAACCTCAGAGAACACTTTCCATTATGTTACTACTTCTATCCTCTGAGTTACTTGACACTCATCAGGACCCTGACTCCCTCATGCTGCTCTCTCTGGCTACAAGGCCTTTTCTTCCTCCTTTTCCCAGCAAACTTTACCCCACTTCCCATCTGCCTCCAGGATGCCTCTGCCAGCAGCCACACAGCAAAACACCTCCCTGTCTCTGCACTGGCCCACTTGGGATGTGGTATCAATTGCTTACAGGGTGTCCCCACCTACAAAGTGAGCTTCTCCAGGAAGGGAGGACTCTTACTCCTCTTCTACCTCCAGTGCTGAGCACAGAATCTGGGGCAAATTAGAAGTTCTAAAGTGTCTGACAAATTATTTTAAACTAGTTACAACTGGAAGGTAAATCTTACTACAGATACAAATTAAAATTTATCTGCAGTGGCACCAGAGAGGGGACAGTAAATGTTTGAGACCCTCTAGAGCAGCGGTTCTCAACCTGCGGGTCATGACTTCTTTGGGGGTCGAACGATCTTTCACAGGGGTCACCTAAGACATAACAGTAGCAAAATTACAATTATAAAATAGCAACAAAATAATATTATGGTTGGGAGTCCCCACAACATGAAGAACTGTATTAAAGGGTCATGGCATTAGGAAGGTTGAGAACCACTGCTCTCAAGAATAGAGTCTCCTTAAAATACTTTAGGAACCATAAAACTTATATACATGAATGCATAATCAATGGACATGGACAACAAAGCTGAGGACAAAGCAGGGAGGGAGGGGAAGAAGGGTGTCAATGAGGAAAAGAGGAGAAACATGTGTAACAAAAATTAATTAATTAATTAATTAATTTTAAAGAAAAAAGGATTTAATGAGTCCAGCCAATGTGACTTAGCAATAAAGCTTTGGCCTGCAGACCAATGAGTACCTCAGTTGTGGTTTGTCCCCAGCCCTGGGTTGGGGTCATGCGGGGGCAACAGGTTGATGTGTCTCTCTCACATCAATGTTTCTCTCTCTCTCTGCTTTTTCTCCCTCCCACTCTATCTGAAGATAAAAAGAAAAATATCAAGGGTGAGGATAAAAAAATTCTTTTTAATGATTTGTAAAGAGCTCAATGATTCATCAATAATCAAATACAAAAATAGCCTAAACTATATTAGCCAATCCTTGAAAAATAAAACAAAACACTAATCCCAGTCAGTGTAAGCAGTCAAATGTCATAGTAGCATTCTTTAATATCACAGATTACCAACAAAGTTAATATGCTGTTTTTTACTAACAGAGAAATATCACCAGATGTTAGATCTTGATGCTTGAGTTTGGCTGAAAAAGAATTTAGAGCCAAGAACTCAAATTATAAGGGACAGTTTATTTAGAAAGTCACAGAGGTAGAAGAAGTGAGCAAATGTCATGGGCTCAAGAAACAAGTTACAGAGGCAAAAGATGGACCCTTGAAACTTAGGAGAAAGAAAGGAAAGATATGCACACCAGGGGAATGAACAGGGGAAGATGCAGGTGAGCTCCAGATTAGCATGTGTGTGAGCGAGCTAGAGAGAAGGTAAAGGTAAGAGACAGAGAGAGAGGGAATGTTTAAGATAGACAAAACAAAGAATTATAAAAGGGCTGGAGCATAAGGTCAAGAAAATCTCCAAGAAGTAGAAAAAGACAAAAAAAAAAAAAGGAAAAAAGAAGGGTAAAAAATTAGAGATCTGTGCAGAAATATTGATCTAAGAGTTTCAACTTCTGAGTAATGGAAACACTAAAAAAAAAGAAGGAAAGAAAGAAAGAAGGAAAAAAAGAATATATAAAAGGAACAAAAATTTTGATTTAAGTAGATAAGATCTGCAATCTAAATGGCCACACCAAAATGAAGTACATAGGAAACCATAATATAAAATTTCAGATTCCCAGAAATAGAGAAGATTCCAAAAGTTTTCAGAGAAGAAAGGGATGGGAGAAATTACTACAATTGATAATATAGTCCGGCTGGTGTGGCTCAGTGGTTGAGCATGGACCCAGGAACCAAGAGGTTGCCAGTTCAATTCCCAGTCAGGGCACATGCACAGGTTGTGGGCCCGATCCTCAGTAAGGGGCATGCAGGAGGCAGCCAAATGATATTCTCTCTCATCGATGTTTCTATATCTCCCTCTCACCTCTCTCTGCAAAATCAATCAAGAAAAAAATAAATTTAAAATTATAATAAAAATAAATTGATAATATACAATGTATCATACAATGTTAACAGATTTAAGAGCAACACTGTAATGAGAGAAGAGTAGAAATGTCTTTAACTGTTAAAATTAATTTCAACCTAGAATTACATACTTTATAAATTAGTAGGGATGTCAGAGAGGCTAGATCTCTAAAATATTCTGTCCATGTGTCCTTTCCCAGGAAAAAGAGTTCAAATAAAACAGGAGCGTATAACAAGACAGAGGGAAACATACAATCTAGGACAGTGACTTTCCACCAGTGTCCTGTGCGGCACACTGAAGAATTTTTTTTAATGTTTTAAGAGAGAGAGAGGAAGGGAGAGAGAGAGAGAAAAAAATATCCATGTGTGAGAGAAACACTGACAGCCTGCTGTGTGCCTCCTATGAGGGATCGATCCCAAACCCAGGCATGTGCCCTCACTGGGAATCAAACTGGGACCTCTCAGTCCATGGGATGGCACTCAGTCCCCTGAGCCACACCAGCCGGGCGCACACTGAAGAATTTTTAAAACATGCCATCCCTGACTATTTAGACAGGGACACTGACCACTTTTCCATTTAGATTGTCAAATTAAAAAGAAAAAAAGACAACAGTCAACACAACAGATATCCAGTGTGAATGAATCAAAATTATCTCTATTTTTTTGTCAGATTGGCAAAAAAAATTTTTCTTTTGGTGTGCCACAAAACTTTAGTCATTAGTTTATGTCTGCCATGAGAGGAAAAGTTGTCAGATCACTGATCTAGGACAAAGAGGATCCAATACAAGACAGCAGTTATGGGAGACCCAGATGACTTTAAAGAAATATGCCCCCCAAAACACAGGAGCAGAGCGGGCCTAGGGAACCCAGTCTGTGCTAGAAAAGGGTAACACAGGCTGGGGAGATTGCTTCCAATGGAAAATGGAACAAATGTGTTTAGTAATATGAAAAATATTTTTGACATGCTTGTGATGAATGCTACTGCATTTTCAGAAATCAAAAAGTGAACATAGTAAAAAAATGTATTCCACACACACAAAAATGAAGACTTACTAGGTATTATGTTAATGTAGCATAAATGTAGTATTTCTGTCTGGTAGTTATCTCTCTCTGCCAAATTACTAGACAGTTAGGTACAAAAGAAAGTTATTTTGAAGCAGGGAGAACAGCTACTCTCTGCATTGGGCTCTGAGATCATGTTGACCAGGCAGAAGGGGTTTGGAGTGTCCTGGGGAAGAGGAGAGGTGCTCAGATTTCAGTCATATTAGAGAAGAAGAATGAAGGGTGTACAGGAGAGAGGCATAGCCAGAGAACCCTACGGCTCAGCAGAACTACTTACACAGCCACAATAATGTGAACAGTGATTCTGATTCAATAATAACCACGTCACACGTTGAGGAAGAGGGGGGGAAACAAGGCCACATGGAGAGAACGCTGAGTTTCAGGTGCTAGGACAGTAAGTCCACAGATGGTGCTAACAACTGACTGAGCTAGGACACTGTTGTTCACTTTGTTAAACAACAAGAATAACAACTAGAGCTAAAAATTAAGACAGATCTTTATACCATAACCATGTTATTAAAATCTAACTTAAAGGTCAGAACCCCTTAAAAATTGGGCATTCCTAAGCAGAAATCATTCCTGAATATGTAAATTTGATCATTAAGATAACAGAAGAGATTTAGAAAATCTACCTAAAAGGTCCATGCTAATGTTATTGGGTCCATTATATATTTTTTAAAACAATGGCAGACAATTTTTTATTCAAATTATTAATTTCTTACTTAAGTTTACAATTGTTTACTTACATGGTATGAATTGTTCTTCATAGTCTTTCCTCTCACTAAGAATGAAAAAAATTAACTTATCAATTCTGATACAAATGATATAGAAAAACATGTTACTAATTACCTGAAAGAGTACTAACATACAAAAGAAGACAAAATTTTATTTAATTTCTTTTATAATTTCCAACATTTATAACTTAAATCACCTGGCAAGATGTGTCCCATAAAGTAACTTCTTAAATCTAAGTTTTAATTTTTTGACCTAACAGATGCTCTATATCAGGTACAAATAAAAGTCTTTCCATGTACAGAAGAAAAGGGCGAAGCAAACCAGGCTGGGTGAGAAACGTAACTAATACGAAGTTTACTTGTTGCGCATCTGAACCACTACTCAGTCTTAGTTTCTGATTCTACATTTACACCCACTTCACCTGAATCACCAGGATTAACAGTTGACAGCTCAAGAGCCTGTTTCTGGCCAGGGATCTGGTAATATCTTGAACCCCTCACTGGTAATCAACTAGAATATCTTACTGAAAAAAATAATGGATCTGTACTCAACTGCAAAGTCACCTGTCTCATTTCAATTTAAAATGAGTGTGGCTAACCTAACTAAACATATGTACATCACTAAATCATTTGCTCTAACAGAGATCAGAAGAAACACAGACACTACAAGGAGGGTCTTGGGCTGCCCTGTTTCCCACACAGCCTCCTTCAATGAGGACAGGCATCATGGGCACACACTCCTTAGGACTGAAAAGAGGCCATGGGAGAGCGTCTCCTGTACTGTCTCCACCATCTCTACATGTGAGCAGTCCGTGGCTCTGGGAGAAACTGAGATACAGCAATCCTGACCAAAAATGATCAGCTCCAGACAGTCAAATACACACACACCATGAAAACGCATATTAACACCCCCATTGTTTACTGTGCTGCGTTACTTCACAGATAATGGAACCTTCCCTTTGGTACTTCTGCTGTCATAGGCAATGAAACCTTGACCACATATGCCTTGTTAAGCAAGTAAACTCCGTGTACCATAACATGAAGGATACGAAGCAGACAAGCAGAGTGTAAAAACCTACACTTCTGATTTTTCTCCTAAAACAAACAGGACCCAGGAAGTGGACACCCATGTCATGTGCTGATGCGAAGCTTCTGGGAACCCCTCAGGCTCTGTGGCTCTCATGCACCCCTGGCAGCATTAGGTTAGGATGAGAGAGTCTTCAACAGCTTAAAAGTTCTGGATGTGAGATCGGATCATGTGGTTGAGCACAATGTAAAATAAAGCCCAAATCACAACTTCGAATCCTCATATACAAATAACTGATTATTTTGATTTGTTCAAATGAAAACCTAACTGTGACCAAAATCCTATCTGACTTACCATCCATTCGAGATTTCTTTAGGAAAATGGTGCTAGCGCTTGGATGGTCTGAAGGGATTTGTTCTAAATCCATCTCTGTGTAGGAAGAAGAGAAAAACGTATAATAATTTAGTTGAGTAGAAAAATACATAATTTTAAAGAGAGCTACACATCCATTTTAATTTCATAACAGTGTTAGAAAGAGTGTTTAGTAATGGTAACAAGCCAATTTCAGTAAAGAAAACAATATGAAAAAAACTTCATAATTATAGTCTCTCTACACATGTGGAATAAAATCAGGATATGTCTTAGACTTTTTAAAAATCTGCACCTAAATAATCTGTGAATCATATATGTGCTTTCCCCTTCTACTTATCAATTAGAAATACAGTCACTACTTTTATGCTGATATTACTGGCTCATTTCAGAAATAGCCTCAAGAAGCAAGTTACACTGTGGACAATTAGTGTCAGATACCAGCTCATATATCTGATATGCCCAAATCAAGTGAGCTGTTTTAGGCAAATGTTCTTTACATATTTAGGCTAATTCTAACTCCACTAAAATAGTAAACTAACTAAAGTAGTCAGCTGTGATTTACTTGGGGCTATTCATCTTTGCAGATTTAAAAGAATAACATAAAAGCTCAATGCTCCAATCTACAGGAACACATCCATAATAATGACTTTTAATACTTTCATCAGATTTTTAAAATTTCTCCTCATTTCTAAAGCTAAAATCTCACTTCTTCCTTGCATGCCACACAATTAATTGGGAGCTTCAAGAAAAATAACTTTTTGGTGCTGATCATATGGCTGCTTGTAACTATGTAAAGGTAGGTTTTCCTGAACTCCACCATGCACTCACTGAGGTGAGATAATCTCCTATTTAGGCAAGAATACAATACAGATACTTGAATTTTAATAACACAAATTTGCCACTGTATGCAATTATAAAGTTGTCATTAAAAATAAAAACAGCCCTGGCTGGTTTGGCTCAGCAGTTAGAGGGTCAGTCTGTGGGTCAGAGAGTTTCAGGTTCGGGTTCGGCTAAGGGCATGTACCTCAGTAGCAGTTTGTCCCCAGCCCCAATTGAGGTCGTGTGGGTGGCAGCCAGTTGATGTGACTTTCTCACACCTATGTTTCTCTCTCTCTTCCTCCCTTTCTCCCTCCCATGCTATCTGAAGATAGATGCAAAAGTGTCCTTAGGTGAGAATAATAATAATTTTAAAAAGCCTGGCTGGTTTTTCTCAGTGGTTAGAGCATCAGCCTATAAATCAAAAAGCCCTGGGTTCGATTCTGGCCAAGGGCATGTAACTCAGTTGCAATTTGTCCCCGGCCCCGGTTGGGGTTGTGCAGGTGGCAACCAGTTGATATGTATCTCTCACATGGATGTTTCTCTCTCTCTCTCCCTCCCTCCCACTTTGAAGATAAAATGTAAAAATATCCTTGGGTGAGGATTTAAGAAACAAAAAAACAAACCCTACGATATTCCTTAGTAATGTCCATCTCAAACCACTTAACCAGTCTTATAAGAAAGTGGACCAAGATCCTGATAGTGTGATGGTTAAGGAAGTATTACCAAAATCACATCTATTTTTTAAAAGAGCATTTGGCAGTCAAATCCAAATGAACTACCTCCCTGGTTCTTAGAGAATCAAAATTCTCAATGATATGTTAAAAATGAATCAGTCTGACACCGCTGTACTTCACCTAGTTATTAATAACAGGAGAGAAGTGAAGGAAAGGCGTGGCATTTGGACAGCTTCACCAGGAAGCTCCCGCTCTACACTCCCCAGGGAGCCTCTGGTCCATTCCTTGCAGATCCCTGAGGGAAGGGACTGGACAGGGGGGAGACAGACTCATACCCAGTAAAGCTGGAGGGGAGGAGTGAGGGTGCTTGCTGTCAGTCACACCTGGGAACAAGTCATTGGCCAGAGTAGGCAGGGCCACTGCCAGTGCAGAAAGATCTGAGATACTTAATTCCCTCTCTGGGCTGTGCTCTTGGGCTCTAGGGCTCTTGCTGTTGGCACATTATGGTTGACTCCTGGGTGGTGGGGCTGTCTGGCTCCTGCTTCCTGTGTTTGTGCACATGGCCCATGCAGACCCCACACGATGGACTAATGGACCGGAACTAGCCTGATGCTGAACTGGACCCAGCTGCAACATGGAACAGAAACTCTGGACACTGCCTTTGCTTTTAGCTCTATTGAAGCCAAATTACACTTATTCCAGGGCTGAATTAAGAGAAATGAGATTTTGGAAACCCAGGGAGGCAATTCCACGAAAATTAAAATCACTCATCCTCCCATGCCAGTCTCAGAAAATTCTTTTTCTTGAGAGATTGTGAGGATACCACCCCCAGCACACAGTGGGAAAAGGGATAACCCACTTCCACGGATAACACGTCTAGTAATGAATAATGTCTAACACATCATTTCTCAAATTTATTTACCTAAAATCCATTTTGCCCTGCAAGGAATATCGTTAGTATCTTGCACAAACATAATTTGGGACTTCCTGGTTTAACAGACATCTGAGCTATCCATATTGATAGTATTGTCAACACTAGAAATTTAAATTACTAAATGAACTGCCTCATTTTTTAAGAAAATGCCTTCCCTGAATTCAAGTTTATTAAGTTGCTTTGAGAGAAACTATTCTAGTCAACATTTTAATGGAAAAAACCCATACAATTATTTTAATGGTTTTTTTCCCCACATATTTGAAAAATGAGACAATGTTAGCTATCTGGAAAAATGACTTAATTCAGTTGTGCACAAAGTGAGAGACAGAGCCTATGACAGCAGCCTCTAACCTTGGGCTTCTGAAAGAATTCAAGACTATTTCCTACCAAAAACAAAGCAAATATATTGAATCTGAATAAAAAAAAATAAGAACAAAAGTTTCCAGAAGAAGCCATATTATGTATCATGTATCAGTGCCTAGGGCATAATAAAGTTTGATTAAATATTTCAATGGGAAGCCCAGGAAAAGTATGTACTTGAATCAAAGAAGAAGCAGGCTTACACACACACACAGCCCAAACCAAGATGTGCTACTATGGCTCTAAATACAAAAATCAAGAAGGCTTGAATAAAGAAAAGACCACTTGCAGAAAGAAAGCAAAATTAGCTCAAGTAAGAAACAAAAACTCCCCCTACCCTACACCTAGGTTCTAGGGCAGACATGTGCCCAGGGCTGGCCAATCAATCACAGCTGGCCTGGGACCACCCAAGAAACAGAAAGGAAAGGCAGAGCTGACTCTGATCCTTAGAGAGTCTGCAGCTGTGGACTCTCCCTTTGCCAGCAGAGGAGAAGCCTTTCCAGGAGAGAGCAACAGGAGAGCAGAACTGAGACAGGTTCTGAGATGATCACTGAACTCCTGAATCAAGGAGCACCTGATGTTTACTCTGTGAACTCTGGTTATACAAGTCAAGACTTTTTTAAAAAAGATTTTGAGGTATTTTGAGACAGATGTTTTTTTAATTTGTAGCATATTTTCTGTATAATTGATACATAATTGCCTATACTTTACTTGGCCAGCCTCCCATTCGTGTTTAAGTAATTACAAAGTTTTATATCATACCATCAAAAAATTTTCACATATATAGTGTTTTTTAACATCTCCTTAAAAAACTCTTTAAAATAAAATGAATAGACCAAAAGGTTAGATTTTTTTATGGCTCAATATATAAAACTAAGTTGCTTTATAAAACAGATGAAGGCATACTAGTGTATAATGCTACCAAGCATAGCATTTTTACCTTCTACCACAGCTTTGAATACTTAAAAGAAAAATCCTAGTCATGTGAATGAGGAACCACACAGTGTCTCTAATTTGCATTTCTTTGATTACATAGTTGGACTACAGTTAACAGTGTTATTTGCACTTTGGTGAATTGCCCATCATTTGTATGTACTGTATGATCTGTACCCACTAGGGCCCTAATGTCAATTTACAAGAGGCTTTCATACAATATTTCCTGTTTATAGCCCTGACCAGCGTGGCACAGTTGGTTGGGCATCTTCCCAGGCACTGAAGGGTTTCCTGTTCCACTCCCAGTCAAGGCACATGCCCAGGTTGCAGGCTGTATCCCTAGTAAGGGGCATACAGAAGGCAACCAATGATGTGTAGCTCTCACGTCAATGTCTCTCTTTTTCTCCCTCTCCCTCTCTGCCTTCCTTGCACTCAAAATCAATTTAAAAAAAATTTTTTTAAAGTGCTTACACCATCCTAAATGTGCCTGATCTGATCGACAAAAATTTTATTTATTTATTTAACATTTTTCTTTTTTATTGGTTTTGAAGGGAGAGGGAGAGAGAGATAGAAACATCAATGAGAGGGAACATCAATTGGCTGACACCTGCATGCCCACCACTGGGGACTGTGCCCACAAGCTGGGCATGTGCCCTGACCAGGAAATCGCACCAGCAACCTCTTGGTACATGAGTGAATGCTCAACCACTGAGCAACACTGGCTGGGCTACAGCAACTTTATATGTAACTTGCACCTTTTTCTCATTGCAAATACTGCATCACTATTTTATAGAATGTTTTTAAGCAGAATTTTTCAGAAAGACATTCATTTCAACATGATTTCAATTTATTCCCATTAAATAGAAATGTCAGCAGTTTCTGGGCCAACAGCTGGGCACCTGTTTACTTAAGGTTTCCTGCATTTTCTGAACTGCTCTATCCCCATACTATACATTGTATTTACTATACATTGTATTAGTTTTGGGGCCCACAACACAAAATTTAGTGTCTAGCAATTACCATGTACACTAATGATTTTATCTCTCAGAGTCCACACTTTCTGCCCCAGTCAGGTGACTTCTACCCAATGGCCTTGAGCTGGCGGCCTCCCCAAAGGCACACAGAAGGCTCTTGTGTCCCCCAGTCTCCTGCTCCTGGAGGCTGGCTTCCAGTTTCCTGGCCTCTGACAATCCTCACTCTGGCTTCCAACCACCTCTGTAGCTGCCTCACCTGGGATCTCAGTATCGCCCTGATTTAATCCTCTACCCATTTGAATGACTCACTGAGCTGTGACATTTCATACAGTGAAGAATATCTTTTTTTCTTTATGGGTTTTT